GAATCGTAAAATATATTCAAAATAATGTAGTTTGAAAACAATTGTTCAATTGCATCTTTGTATATTTCAGATATGAGCGTCCACCCTATTCCACAAGCGTCTTACCCCTGACAAGTCTCTCGGTCAAAGTCCTTAGTGAGCCTGGTACTTCGCCACCAACACCTTCATCCGTCCCCATAAATACTTGTCGCTCTAGCTACAGTATGGCTTCTGGTGCGGCCGGTATCCAGCAAATTCAAACTCAACCTCTGGATTTGGGAATCGGGCCAAATAAGTCAAAGTAAGTTTTGAGTGTGAGTGCCGCCTACCATTTAAAAAATTGCCCTTCCAGTGATAACGGTCAACCCATATCACCTAAAAGGAAAAGTACGCCGCTATGTTTGGAAGGCAAGAAGCGCAGAATTGACTCCCCGAATATGCAGCATGGTTTGAAGAACTTTTGCAATAACGTGCCTCCAAATTTAGTTGTTCAATCCAGTTTATCCGGGCAACCTCAATTAGCTCGAGTTAGTGAACCTAGTCCGTTAATAGCCAGTGCGGCCACAACGATTACCACGCTGGTAAACACTGCAGCTTACAGGTAAACATCATTTTTCAGCCACTTACCAAACCATTTGTGATTGTGATTTGAGTTTGTAAAATTAAAAAAATTTCAATTACTCGTAGGGCTCCATTGCCAACGATTATGAATTCATTGGGGGGTACTCAGTCGCCCCCATTGCTGACAGACCTACCAGATTTAAGTGTTACTGCTGTTACGGTGGAAGTACCCAGACCGGCGAGTACCGATTCAACACATTCCATTCCGATTGCAAAACCGGGCACTCCTGTCGCCATGCCACCAAATTTAAGCCCGTCGCCACAGGTTCGGAACACTGGCACCCCAAGTAGTTCAAGTGGCACGGCTTCCAATTCAGTTTCTCTCAATATGTCTTTAATCAGTAATAGTTCGAATGAGACAAGCGCTCCAAATATGTTTGCTTCTTCCAATTTGACGGTTTCTGAAGACGCAGCCACTCCGCCAATGACCGATGACTATCCAGGAATATCTGTTAAACTAACCACGGTTACACCCAGTGTGATAGATTCAGAGAAGAGCAATAGTCCGGGCCCTCAGAAGAACCCAGGTGGCAACTACCCTGTTCGGCATTTGAAGAAGGTATGTTTGGATCAAGTTAACGGTTACGGCGGTGACAGTGGTTTGCTTTCTGTTCAAATAGGCGTGGTTGCAAAGGCATACGGGAGAAGACATTGAAGATACCACTGGCTTAGTGGGTTCCGGAAGTTGCGTCACGTTACCGTTAAATATCAGTACCTCCAGCCCTCCATCTGTTAAAAATGAAACACCTTCAGTCAAATCAATTCACGCGGTGGGCAGCATGGCAGTGAACAGTATCAACAAGTCGAAACCCTTTCAGTGTAAGTCGACCAACCGCAAGCCGGCAAAAGAGACAAGTGCTAATGGACATCTGGCTGATAAAAATGGAGATGATTCGTCCAGTTCAGACCCTGAGAGAAACGATCGAAAAAGTCCGCCAAAGCGAAAAACGCCCAAAGTCACCCGAAAAAAAGGGGGCGGCGGGACCGCTTCATTTGCTAAAAAAGTGTCCGAGGAGAAGAAGAGGAAAAGTGAAAAACAGGTAGCAGATTGGGTACAAGGTAAAGTTTTATTTCTAATTCATTATTTTCGAATAGCCAACTCAAAGTGAGAGCGGCAGTGAAAGTGATAAAGAATCTGATAGCGCCAAAGATAGCGATTCGGGAGCTAGTACAACTGTTTCTGGAGGCGGTAAGAAGCCCGGCAAGGAACCTAGAAAGCGTGGTAGACGACCAAAGGGTTCAAAAAACGACAAGGTAATTTGCATTATTCCCGACAGATTTTGAAGGTACTCAGTTTAGTGATTTTGCAGGGCGAGGAGCCGCGCGTCAAAAAACCTAAAGAAGAGCCCCCGCGCGACCCCTTTCGCAAACCTCCAGTGGGGCAACTGAAAAAGACTGGCGAAAGCTTTCTGCAGGATGGCCCTTGTTTCGAGGTCGCGCCGAAACTTGCAAAATGCCGGGAATGCAGATGGACGCCCAATCAGCGATCAAGAAATATGCCCAACATTTTCTGCCGGTTTTACGCGTTTCGTCGTTTGCGATACACGAAAAACAATCAATTGGCCATTGCTGGCTTCAGTGATCCGCACAAGGATGCAATGGAGGTGCGCCTGTTTTTTTTCCTAAACAATTTTAAATACATAACGGTGATTATTTGTTTAGGAGGACATCAAGTTATGGCTACCGAATACCGAAAATCCTCCCGGTGACTTGGACATGGATACTTCGCGGTTTTTGCTTACGCAAGTTGGTGATCATTTCTGTGATTTGTTGGTACAGGAAAAGGAGGCACATGAAGAGCACATGTCTGAAGGTTGGTGGGTTCAATCAATTGCAAGAAATCTCATTGTTAATTCGTTTTCAAAATCGTTACCTTTTAGACAAGGTGGTGGCGTGGAAAAGAGTAGTTCAAGGTGTTCGAGAAATGTGCGATGTTTGCGAAACTACTTTGTTCAACTACCACTGGACTTGCGGCAAATGTGGATTTGTCGTATGTCTCGATTGCTATAAGGTAATAGAGTTTATTTGTTATTGAAATGTTAAATTGTGCAGAGTGACCATAGTACTAAAACTTCCTTTCAACAATGTTTTCAGAGTCGAAAAAAAGGTACTATTAAGACACTGAACGAGCCAGGAAAAGATAGGGATGAATGCATGTGGCTGTTGTGCACCAATCGGTCATCTCATGAACAGGAAAAGCTGATGCTCACGCAGATCATCGCCGACGATTGCATCCTCAAACTGGGGAAGATGGTTCACGAGATGCGGGAGCTCTGGTCTATCGAACAGTTTTGCGGGTGTCCTAATTCTAAAGAGACGAAAGTGAACAATGTCGAATGCAAGGAGATGGTCAACATCATCATGAACGAGAACATGAATGGCGTAAAAAAAGAAGTGAAAGAAGAGTCCAAAGGTGCTATTAACGGAGTTAAGGAAGACTCGCAATCGTCTTTAAAATGGTTAGCGGATGTAGCCCTGAAAGCCGAAGAACCAGTCAGCGAAGAGGAGCTGGAAACTGGCAGTTTTTCGACGTTGAGAGAACTGTTGGTTCGCCCCACTCATAAAGCGAACGGCTCTTCCAGAGCCGGCTCACCCAATTTGAAAACGGACAAGAAGAAATCCAAATTGGATAAGCCTGAAACTGATCCGTTGTCTACGTGCGGACTAGAAAATCCGACCAAGTCGCCAAAGGAGGAACCAGAAGAGAAAATTGAACTGAAACATTATATTCGAAGATATAATTGGCAGCATAAAGGCAGACAGCAGTTGCCCATCCGGATAATGACACTCACTGAAAGTAAAATTCTTTATCCCCATGTTCCTCATTCTTGGCTGTGCGATGGCAAGCTGTTACGCCTCAGTGATCCTGCATGCAAGGACAACAACAAGATTTTCCAGGTAATTTGCCCGGGTTTGTTTTATCATTGCATCCATTTCGATTACATAAATGAATGTAATGTTAAAATGAATTAAAGCCATTCGTAGAGGAGATAAAATTAGCATTTCTTCAATTTTATACGTAACGTAAATACAGGGTGATTCAAAATTGGCGTCATTCCTCTGGAGGTGTTGTCTGGCGCTGTTATAGGAGTACAGAAAAAATAGTAAAAGAAATTAAT